GCCAACAATAAAAATTTTTTCATGCCATCTTAACTTTTTTTTTAAGAGTAGAACATGATAAGCACAAACCAAACCACAGAGGTAATATTCATTTCCTAAAGATAACCTTCAGGTCTTCTGGTATAAAATATTGATTTTTTTACTTTCATATCTAATGTCCTTAAACAGAAGCCACCAGTATTTTTCAAAATCTGTATAAAAGGAGGTGCATACCTTTTTATCTAAATAAAACATCATTAAATCCTACTTTCACTATAAAGCAAAACTTTTATTCTGAAAAGGAACTCTACTCTGAGCTCACTGCAAAACTATCTATTTCAGTCATATTCCAGATTTAGAAGGACAAAGGGCAACTGCAGGAAATGGAGCATCACCAAGGTCCAAAACAAACTTGTGTTAGAGTGGGGAAAATAAAAACCCACACCATTACTCAGGATAACTATGCACTATGCTTAAATGGCAATCTGAAAACTTTAAGATTAAAATTTAATTTTATTAGCTCAGCTTCATTTCCACCAAAGAGAAAAACTGCCCTTGACTGTAAATATAAAGATCAATGGAAATTATGACACAAAATACTAGTAACATTTTCCTACTTTTAATGTACATGCCAATAATACAAATTCGTTTTTCCTCAACAACTTTGAGAGATAAATAAAAGTTTTTTTTTCCCATTTGACAGATGAGAAAATGAAATATAAAGAAACTAGATGACCTGATTTTAAGGTCCTTAAGATGAAAAGCAGAATTAGAACTAAATTTTGGGTCTATTTCTACTAGCTCCACTTAATTTTTCAATGTAATCTCAACAATAACAGAGTGAGATCAAACACCCCTATGGCACCAGTACTTGGGAGGCTAAAACAGGAATGTCAAGAGTTCTGGCTGGGCTGGAGCACCTGCTGCTACTGCAGAAGACCAGGGTTAGTTCCCAGCACCTAAATGACAGGTCACAATCACAAATCCAGTTCCAGGGACTCCAATGCCCTCTTCTGACCTCCACAGCATCAAGCTCACAAGTGGTACGCATACATGCATACAGCCAAAACATTCACACATAAAATAAAATAAACTTAATTTAAAAAAGAAAAGAGTTCTAGGCCATTCTGGGATAAATGAGACCCCCTGTCTAAAGAAAACAAAATAATTAATGAACCCGACTTCTACCTATTACATCCTTCTGTCGGTTTGTGATCATTTTACCAGCAAGACAAAAATGTACTTCAACTTCTTCTTTATGTGTCAGTGTTACTTTACATATATTTTGCCTCTATATGTGTCTGTCCACCACTTGTATGCCTGACGCCCAGGAAGGCCAGAAGAGGTCACTGAACCTCTGGGGACTGGAGTGACAGACAGTTGTGAGCTATCATGTGACCCTGGGAATCCAACCCAAGTCCCCTAAAGAGCAGCCACTCTTAACCACTGAGCTATATATCTCCTGCCCCCCAAAAACTTAAATCTTACTGAGGAATCCGAGATGCTCAATTTCTCCTCTATACATCCTAGCAACTAGCTACTGCATGCATAATCCAGCGATTTAAGAGGTTCAGGCAGGAAGAGGTCAAGCTCAAGGCCTGCCTGGGCTACAGAGTGAGTTCAAGACCACACTGGGTAACTTGGAAAATCACTACCTCAGAAAATAAAAAGTAAAAGAAGATGGATGATACACCTGCCTACTAGCTGCAAAGCCCTAGACTCAATCACCAACACTAAAAAATACATCCTCTCCTAGGGCAGCAGATGAAACAGAGAGAGAATGCACAAATATATGAATTCCCAAAAGATGCCTAATAACTACCCAAGCTGGTATACAGTTATATAAAACCTGCCTCTACTTTTGTTTCTAAGATTAAGCAAAGAAATGATGTCCAAAGACACTAAACAGTTCTCATTTGACTGTCTACTCTTGTTTTGTTTTGTTTTGTTTTTTCGAGACAGGGTTTCTCTGTGTAGCTTTGCGCCTTTCCTGGAACTCACTTGGTAGCCCAGGCTGGCCTCGAACTCACAGAGATCCGCCTGGCTCTGCCTCCCGAGTGCTGGGATTAAAGGCGTGTGCCACCACCGCCCGGCTGTCTACTCTTGATATATCCAGAGTAGTAGTTGCTAACCAATGAACTAAAATCACATACTAGATTAGAGCTGTTCAAATTTAATGTTTAACTTTTAAGAGCTATATGAATACACTGTCAATCAAATCCTTGACCTTGGGTAAGCATGACTATTTGAAAGCAAGAAAGTTCAGACTACTTGAATTAGTGGTCATATCCACTAACATAACAACCTTCAGAATATAGGAATACTGTACCTTCTTATGTAATGACTACTATATAAAGTCAACAAATCTATTATGGATAGTCATATTTCTAACAATGCAATTAAACCCTATTCCTGGAAGGACAATATAAACATTTGGTAACAAAACAAACTGCATGTCACAAAGTAATTATGTGAGGGGATATATATGTTAATCAGCCTGGCTTGATTATTCCATGTGCACATGTATTAAAACATTAGAGCACACTCCATAAATACTTGATAATTTAAGAAAAACCTATTAAAAAGAAAAAATTATCAAATGTTTTATCAAACGTTCAATTTAACATGTGAGGATCCACCTGCTAAAACGGAAGCTTCTACTTGGATTTTAATCCCTAACATTTAGGCTTGAACTCAGATAAGTAAGTAGACAGTCTGTAGCATTTCTTCTACAAAGCAGTATAAACCAAGGGTACTTATATTAAACTTTCAAACTGATCAGTGGCAACGTCCAAAGCATTACAAGAGTGACTTATTACTGACATGCTGGAACACAGGTGCCCAAGTCAGTTTAGCACTGTGGCAAACATGAACGACGTCTTAACTTCATTGCCCTGAAACAGATCTGCCTGGTCTGCAAAGATTTCCTCTTTAACCAGGGATGTACACAATACTCTGTGTACTCAGAAAATCAAGTGGGACAGCAAAATGGCAAGCACTGTTTAAATTTTAATCATTAAAAATAAACTTAGGGGGCTGGAGAGATGGCTCAGAGGTTAAGAGCAATGGCTGCTCTTCCAGAGGTCCTGAGTTCAATTCCCAGCAACCACATGGTGGCTCACAACCATCTGCAATGGGATCTGCGTCCTCTTCTGGCATGCAGGCATACATGCAGGCAGAACACAACATATAATAAATAAATATTTTTTTAAATTAATTAAAAAAAAAAACTTGCCAGGCGGTGGTGGCACACACCTTTAATCCCAGCACCTGGGAGGCAGAGACAGCAGATCTCTGTGAGTTCAAGGCCAGCCTGGGCTACAGAGTGAGATCCAGGAAAGGCTCCAAAGCTACACTGAGAAACCCTGTCTCAAAAAACAAACAAACAAAAAAAAACTAAACAACAACAAAAAACTTGGTACTCCAGAAAAACTGGTCATTTTGTTATTCAAACCATTGTTCTGAATGGAAATTGGCAAAGAGAATCAAACATTTATGCAGCATGACTTTATTTTAATGAAGTCATTAATAAATGATATAAGGTCATTTCTCTACATATCCTAACAAATGAAAACAGTGCCAGAACATTAGTCATGCAAAATTCTCATGAAACAGGTAAAAATCATTGGTGAAGGCTGCATTTATGAACTATTATATTATAGCCTTCCATACCCAAACTAGAACCTGAATCAAGGTTCTACACTTGTCAATTTACAGGTACCCAAACCCAAAGAGAAACAACTTTTAAAAACTCATGGAGATCCATTAACAAATTCCAGACTGCAGAATAGTCTAAGGTCAAAAACTGCTCTCTAAAGCCAGGCAGTGGTAGCACATGCCTTGCAGAGGCAGGCAGATCTTCGAGGCCAGTCTGGTCTACAAATCGAGTTCCAGGACGGCCAAGGCTACACAGAGAAACCCTGTCTCGGGGGTGGAGGTGGGTGCTTTCTACCACAAATGAATATCAAAGAAGTGTGGTAAAGATTTCACACATCCTTTCAATAAAATACAGTGCACATACTTTGTTTAAATACTGAATTATGCAGTGAGAAAATAAGAGTCTTATGAGATTAGCAGAGAAGTTTGGACATAAGTGTACCTTTTGTGGTTTAAATAATCATTGTATTGTGATAGTTTTTAAGACTTATTTTACAGATATACTTTTAAATATCTACAGGCAACATCCTAAACTGTGTGGAATTTGATTTTAAATAATTCAGTAGAGAGAGAACAGAATAGAACCATGGTATAAACTGATCATTGTTGAAATGAGTGACAAATAAAGGTTTACTGTATCTTATCTTCCTTGTACATGCTTAAAATGATCCATAACAAATGCTTTAAGGAGGAGGCCGAAAAGACATTTTGGAATAATTCACAGAATTAGGGCCAAAAACAAAACAAACCTACTTCTCTCTCAAAGGTCAAAACCAAAGCACCAGCCACACAACTCTGCAGACCTAAACTCAATCCTAGGGAGCTATGGAAGGGGAGAAGGAGAACCAAATCCACAAAGTTGTCCTCTACATAAGGACCATGGCACCCGTGTGCCCCAAACATCCTACACACAGTAAGACTTTTATTTTCCTCTTATAGGCACAATCTTACCTATATAATTTTGAGATCATTGAAGATAATATCAAAAAACACATCTGTAAGTTTTTAATAGTAGGCCAATATAGTCAATGTACTCAAATCTGAAAAAATATGGGAAATGTAAGATCTCTTACATGTTTTTAAAATTCAGGATTGGGGGGAGGGGTTGTTTTGTTTTGTTGTTTTGAGACAAGGGCTCTCTATGCAGCCCTGGCTGTCCTGGAACTCTCTTAACTAGGATGGACTCGAACTCACAGAACTCCACCTGCCTCTGCCTCTCAAGTGCTGAGACTAAAGGCGTGTTCCACCACACCTGCCAATTCAGGATTATTAATATGAACAAAACCACTACCCATTAAGGTCATAATGCTGGATATAGAATTTTATAATCACGTATTTTTAAGTACGGAAATAAAAGCAATTACCTTCGTACAATAAAGCATCCAAAGTTCAAAGAGCCTCTCTCTGGCAGCCATTGTGGCCTTTCACTCTGGCACTTTAGTATTTCCTCAAAAAGAAGGGTTCAAGACCACAGCATGTTATTTTATTTCCCAAGTTTCTCAACCGTTACAATAAAACTCAAAGCAGCGGGATACACAAACAAACAAACAAAAAAGTGGAACCAATAAGACCGTCTCGGATCAGTAAAGATCAATTTCTGCAGCTACTCCAACACATCTTCATCAGTGGTTAGCTGGGCTCGTAAACAGGTCTGTGAAATACAAAAATACCCAAAGTTGTTTTTTTGTTTTTTTTTTTTAAATCCAGATATCTGCCTGCCTTGCTTACCCAATCAAATGGATAAATTTCCAATCTGATTAGATCTCACAGAAACCTGTTTTCCTACACCGAGACTAACATAAAGTACTAAAAATCTTCCAGGCAGGTTCCCTATCAAAACTGCAATAGGTGGAGGGGAAAAAAAGTACTGCCTACTCAAGTGTTTTCCCTTACCCTTAAAAGACCAAGAACACAGCTCAAACATATCAAATCTCCGCGATGTCTCGCCTGCTACTTAAAAAGTTGCTGGGAATGTTTGCTGCGTCGCAGGCAGGGCAGGGCGTGGGGGGAGGGCCCTAGGAATTCCTAGTTTGTTTGTTTTAACCATCCGCTCAGTGAAAGTCACCCCGTCTACCTGGCCTCTACCTCTCCTCCAGCCCAGAAGAAAGGAGCTCGCACGCCGAGGCAAGGGCCACCTCCCGGGCGAGCCCCCTCAACCCCACCCCGCCCCGCAGCGTTCCGGGGGGACCTTTCCATTTCCTCCCCGCGTCCCCGTTAAGAACGGGGAAGACAAACGTCAGGCGTGCCAATCAATTTCCGAAGCGCCGCCCCCAGCGCTCTGGGACCCCGACCGACCGGGGACCCACGCCAACCGGCCGCAGCCGGACCCGCCCGGGCCGGCCGGCCGGCCGACTAGCCGGCCGCGCCCCCCTCGCCCGCCGGCCGCCGCCGCCCCTCAGGCTGCAAGCCCCGTGCCTCCGGCGCCTCCCGCGGCCCGGGCCTCCCCCCGCCGCCCGGCGCCCCGCAGCGGCCTCCGCCCGACCTCCGCGTCCCCTCACCGCGCTCACAGGCCGGCCGCCGCCGCCGCCACCCCGCCGCGGGCTCCCTCGCTGCCCTCCGCCCTGCCCGCGGCGAAGCCCCGTGTCAACCCCGAAGCGGAGCGGGCGGGGGGCGGGGGCGGGGCGGTGACGAGGCGGGGTGGGCGGGGCCGGGGGCGGAGCAGCCCCTCGGCTAATCATTCCGGCCGCTCCTCTAGGGCCGCTCGGCCCCGAGCCCCGCCCCCAGGCATGCCTGCGCAGCCGCAGTTTGCGCTCGGCTCCCCGGGTTCTGAGAGCGGCCGGCGCCAGCCTGGGCCCTCGGGTCAGTTGTCTCCCCGCTGGACGTGGGGACCGGCGTGCTGACGTCGCGCCCCGCCCCTGCTAGGTGGGGTGGACGGGACTTCCTCGCCAGCCCTCGCCTCTGCGAGTCTGTCGAGGGCCGGGGACCCTATGGGGACGTCTAGAGAGGATTTGAATTCGGTTTCTATCTCGGAATGCGATTGATCCTGGGACACACCTCCTCCAAGGAAAAAAAATCTTTTCCTATACTTGCTTTTGGTGCCTTTGTACTGACTCGGTGACTATTCCAAGGGGATTGCTCTTACCGAGATCTTGGAATGACTTCCACCTTTCAAAAAAAGAAACAAAAAGGCAAGGCTGCATCATAGTAGCCCCACACAACTTTCATAAGTTTTTTGTTGGTGTTGCTGTTAACCATCTTTTAAATCTAAAAACGTGAAAACACTATTGTGAGAACTTGCAAGCATATACAAAACTCAATGTTAGAGCTCAGCTTAGCACCTGAGATGCCCTGTGTTTTGGTTCCTAGCGAGCAACACACAGTGAAGTAAACTAGTAAAGTGAACTTCCATATGTAATCACTTAGCTTCAGAAATGATCAAAGACAGCCATGAAGGGAACAGGTCTGGGATCCCAGCACTTAGGAGCTGGAGGCTTTGGCTACAGAGCAAGTCTGGGAACAACCTGTGCCACATGAGTCTTGTCACTAAAGAAAAAATGAGGAGAGGGAAGGAAAGGGCGTGAGATGGGAGATGGAGACAGGAGGGCCAGCTAGCTTGTAGTAACCTGTCCACAAACAAGAGACCCCCGGCTCAACAAAGTGAAATGCAAGAACCCGCTCATGAAAATTAACCTCCGACATTCTCTCTCTCTCTCTCTCTCTCTCTCTCTCTCTCTCTCTCTCTCTCTCTCTCTCTCTCTCTCTCTCTCTCTCTCTCACACACACACACACACACACACACACACACACACACACACACACACACACACACACACACGCATGCACGCTACTAATGCCGTCATGGGGGCTTCACCCTCGTGACCTTTATTTTAAATATCAACGAATGCCCCCCTTTTTTGTGTGTAGTGTGTCCCTGTGCCACATGTGTTTGGGTATCCTCAGAGGCCAGAAGACCAGTGTGATCCCCGGGAGCTGGGGCTGGCAGGTAGGGACTGTAGCCTTCTGATATGGGTGCTGGGGACATTCTCTGGATGAGCCACAAGTGCTCCTAACCACTGAGTCATCTTCCAGCCCCTCGTCTATTTTCATCTATGGTAAATCTACAGACTTTCTTTTTTTTTTTTTTTGGTTTTTCGAGACAGGGTTTCTCTGTGTAGCTTTGTGCCTTTCCTGGAACTCACTTGGTAGCCCAGGCTAGCCTCGAACTCACAGAGATCCGCCTGCCTCTGCCTCCCGAGTGCTGGGATTAAAGGCGTGCGCCACCACCGCCCGGCAAAGGTTGTGTGTGCCAGTTACCTTGGTTTTTTTTGGTCTTTTTTGTTTTGTCTTTTTTTTTTTTTTTTTTTTTTTTTTTTTGTCAAGAACCACAGAGTAAACGTTTCAGCTGTGTGGACCACGCTACAGCTTAGCTATCAAAAGGTGAAAGTAAGTTTTGTGATACTGTCATCAAAATGTCACCGGATACCCGTCACAACAAACACCGATGAGCAGAAGACCGGAATTTAATTGAATCGTTAAACTTCACTTTATTTAGAAACCTTGTGATCTGGGGAGGCAATGGATTAACATCCTACGTATTCGCCTTCTGATTTCCAGCCAGTTGGTTTCCATGAAATGGAAACAGAGGCAGACCCCCATTTCAAAGTTTAGTCTTCCCGCTCTGGTCAGGTGGTTAGCCTTGTCTCGGAGATTCACAGTGTTTTAGCTTCTCTCTGTGCTTCTCTCGTACTTCCCTCATCAACATCTCTCTCTCTGTGTGGCAGAGTCCCAAGGCCGCACAGCCTTGTTTTCTTCCCTAGGATCACCTGGGCTAAGGGTTAACACAGAACAAACAAACCATTAGCAGGGCTGAGCTAGCTACCACAATGTGTACGTGCAGATTCTTTTCTATGATAGGAAGTATAAATGTGGCTTTATAAGGTTTGAAAGTGCCCCTGTCTGTGTCCTCTTCTTCCCTATTAATATGTGAGTGCTCCCTAAAATTCAGTTTTCATTGAGAGTTTTGTTAATACTGCCATATCTGTTCATTCACTCTTGCCCTTAGCTACTTTCACTCAATCATGAGTTAAGAATAGTTGTCTGCAAATGATACCTTCAGGGTTTGTTTGCTTGCTTTGAGACAGGGTTTCACTTGGCTAGCCAGGAGCAGCTTGCTATGGAGAGGAGGCTGGTCTTGAACTCAGAGATCTGCATGCCTCAGCCTCCAGAGTGCTGGGATTAAAAACAAGCAACACCACACCCAACTCAGCTTTATTTTTTTTTTAAGATTTTGTTGTATGCAACATGTACGTCTGTGTACCATGTATATCTGTGCACCACATATATTCCTAGAGTGCCTACAGAGGGCCTGGAGTCACAGATAGGTACTAGCCACCATATGGATGCTTGGAACTGACCCAAGACCTTCTGGAAGGCAGCCATCTCTCCAGCCCCACCTTCAGCTTTTCATACAAAGCGACATTTTAAATTATACTTTCTCCTTTGTCGTCTAGCGAAGGTCTTCTTAAAAATCCTTCCACTCTAGACCCATTTTTGCCTGAGAACTTTTTTACATGACCCTGAGTATATAATTACATAAAATAGATATACAAGTTAAACATTTACTGATGGTAAATAATAATGAAATTTATTTCAAAACCACTCTTTGGTATACATGTAATTTTGCCATTTGTTAAAGACACAAGCAATTTTGTATATCTTATGTAAGATTAAATATTAGCTGAGAATTTATTGCCGCTGGACATACAGCATCTTCAACATTTGTTTTAAGAGTTGATTTAAACTTTCATTTTATAATCATCCATGCTGAGAATATTGAGTCCCACAAATATGCAGTACAAAATATCAGAAGTGGCCTGGGGTGGGGGGCAGCTCAGTGCTTGCAGCTCAAGTGTGGAGACCTGATTCTGAACCCTTAGAAACTACAGAAAAGCAGATGTGGTAGTACATGCCTGTGTATCCTAGTGCCCCTCCCAGTGGGGAGACTGGAGGTGGAGACAGGAGAAATTTCTTTTTCTTTTTCTTTTAAGACAGGGTTTCTCTGTGTAGCCCTGGCTGTCCGGGAACTCACTCTGTAGACCAGCATGGCCTGGAACTCAACAAGATCGGCCTGCTTCTGCCTCCTGAGTGCTGGGATCAAAGGAGTGTACCACCACCACCCAGCTGGCAGAAGAATTTCTTGAAGCTAGAGAGCCAGCTAGTCTGGGGTACGCAGCAGAGAAAAAAACATCAAGATAACCTGTCTCCAACAAGGTGGAAGCAGAAGATAGCCCCGCAAAGACCTCTGACCTCTACAGGAATGCCATGCCATGTATACACACACACACACACACACACACACACACACACACACACACACACACACATTTTTTAAGTGGCATGTTTACAGACATTTTAAATTTTGTTGGAAATTCTGTCCTAATCCTAATTAATTACTTTTTTTTTTTTTTGAGACTAGGTTTCACACATACAAGGCTGACCTCAAACTAGCTAATAATAACCTTAAACACCTAGTTTTCCACCTCCTGGATGCTGGGATTATGGGTGTGCTCTACTAAATCTAGTTTACATAGTGTTGGAATTGAATCTGGGATTTCATGTATGCTAGGCAAGCATTTTATACCACCTGAGCCAAATCTCCAGCCTCCACTTAATGGCTTTTTAAAGTGAAACTCGGGTCATAGCCCAAACAGCAATTTTTAAAATTACATGTATTTATTTGCTTACTTATTAGTGAGAGAGATGTGGGGGAGGGGTCATAGGACAACTTGTGGGAGCTGGTTCTCTCCAACTGTGTGTAGGTCCTAGGGATCAAATTCAGACCATCAGGCTCCTAGCCACTGGGCCATCTTGCTGGCCTCCAAACAGCAATTTTTAAAATCAACATTCAAACACAATATAATCTAAAGATATACTAATATGACACTTACATGCTAAAGAACGATGACAGAAAAATATTAAAAGTCTTTGTTTTTCATAGTGAAATCGTTATGCCTGTGTACAAAAGCAGAAAACGTTGTGCACACAGTAAAAACACACCATGCAGAACATCCAGCCATCTTGGACCTGAGCTAGGGTATTTCAGGAAGCATTCACCCACATCATGTGGCATGCAGGCGTCCCTGAGAAGTGCGTCTTGTGAGTTCAGAACCAAGACTTCAGGGAAGACCTGCAGCACAGAAACATCTCAGATTAATTATGCACTTGTTTTCAAACTGTCTTGCCGTAGTGGTGTGCCCAGAAACCTTTTGCTGTTGTCAATGATAATGTCACGACTCAAACTGTAGGAAGTTGGGGTCTATGGGCTCATCATCTCATCATGTCAGAGTTGGGGAGAAAGGGCTGTGAATATAGCTCAGTGGTGGAACACGGCAGTCAGTATAAGTACGACCTTGGGGTCTGTTCTGCAACGATGGCTGGGGAGATGACTGAGGAGATAAAACACTCTTCCTAGGAGATGCCACACTTTAGTCATTAGCAACTCTATTCTTCCCGTTGCTGTGTCCAAGCATCTAGAAAGTCCCTTCCTCATACACTTCAAATCCAATTCTTAGAATGTATCTTCATAATATAACTGGAATCTCACCATGTCTCCATGCCTCGACCACCGCTACCACCTGCTGGTGAGTTACAATGTCTTTTCTGGATTGCTGTGAAAG